CCCGAAATAACCTCGAATGTAGTTGTTATTTAGGCGTATCATTTTCCAGTTTGGCAAGAGAGGACTTTTAACTGACCGCTTTAGGAAATGGTATTTAAATATAAGTCAAAAAGAGTAAAAGCGTAGTCTCCTGACGTTGGTGCCCCTGTCCGGCTGGGCTGCACAAGTCTGTAGGCATTTTAGCACTGGAGACTTCCCACTGAACCCCTTTCCGTGCCAGCCCCTTCCCCGCATATACACATGCCCAGGATAAGGCTCTGTCCTCCACCTGCAAGAGAGGCCTAGGCAGTAACCCAGAGGCACATTTCAAGTCTTCTCCCAGAACCAAGTCATTCTGAGCCTAGTAGCCAAAGACTTGCTTAGGCCGACAGCTCTGCTTTCCGGGCTCGTCACGGAAAAGATTAGAAGCAAAGTTGGGGCGCCTGGGTGGTTTAGTTGTTAAGCGTCTGCCTTCGGCTCAGGTCACGATTCCAGGATCCTGGGATCGAGCCCCATGTCAGGCTGCCTGCTTGGCGGGGACCCTGCTTCTCCCTCTGCCTGTGCTCCTCCTGCTTTCTTGGTCTCTCTCTTTCTCTCGGACAAATAAATAAAATCTTAAAAAGAAAAAAAGAAGAAGATGATTAGAAGCAAAGTTGAGGGAAAATAGTGCTGAGGGGAAATAGGTTGTCTTGGTCCTCAGCTTGAGGAAGAACTTTCTTCACTCTCCTGTCCAGATGGCGGAGTTGAGCTGGGCAGCAGCGCTTCATTGGCCAGGAGGCCCCTGGGGGCCAGGACCTGGTGGGCATCCCAGTGCCAGCCCTGCGCGCTTGGGAGAGCGTGGGAATCTAAACCACATACAGCGGGCCGGCTGCCGGTTTTTTCCTGTCGATCAGGCCTTAACAAGCAGGCCTAGCGCTCCTGTGGCAAAGGCCTCAGCTCTCAGAAAGTGCCACATGCAGATTCCTTGTGCAGAGGGAAAGTGTGTTTCCTTCTTGTGGTTCACTGCATCCCACCCCTTGCCTTTTTACTTCATTCGTTCACCTTTGTCTGTGGATGCTGTAAGCTTATCTTGGGTGACCTCTGTCTGCCCTCTGGGCCAATCTCTGGTGAAAGAGGTGACCTTTCTTCTGCCTTCAAACCCAGTCGGCAGGTCACCTTTCCTTCCTCCTTCCCTCCCTCCCTCCCTCCCTCTCTTCCTTCCTTCCTTCCTAGATTTTATTCATTTATTTGTCAGAGAGAGAGAGCACAGGCAGGGGGAGCGGCAGAGGGGGAAGCAGACTCCCCACTGAGCAAGGAGCCCAAGGTGGGGCACCATCTCAGGACCCCGGGATGGTGACGTGAGCAGAGGGCAGACGCTTAACTGTCTGAGCCACCCAGGTGTCCCAGCAGGTCACCTTTCTTTCTGCTCCTGGCCCTTACTCCTACCATTTGTTGCCAGCGTCCCTTCCTCTGCAAGCTCTTCATGTTTGGGGGTCTCCTCTGCACTCCATGCCTGCATCTGCATCTCTCTATCTTAGTGACCGGAATCCTCTTCAGCTCCGCCCTTGTGTCTTCCTAGAAGTTTCTTCAGAGAATAGTTTATCTTAGTGTCTGTGCACATCCTTACTTCTCTGTCACTTTCCGACCTACGGCTGTCAGTCAGCTTCTGTCTTCCTTACCTGCTCAGGTGAAGAACATGCTCACATTTTCTAAAACTAGGTCCATTAGGGATTTTGTATTCCTGTATTCTTCTCTCTGGTCATTTGACAGCATCGATCATTTCTTCTTGAAACTCAAAACCCTCTTCCAGGTTGCCCACCTCTGAGCAGCCTTCCTGCCGCTGTTATGCTGGTTTCCCTTGGTAGCCCTTTAGGTCGGGTTCCCCCAGGGGTTCTCCCAGGCCATCCTCTGAGACCGCCATCCATCTTCTTCCCCATTCTGGCTTTTCGTGCTGCCGGTGGTCTGAGGATTCCCAGACTTTCTCCTCAACCAGGACTGTCCCTTTGGTGTGGTGTGTATCCACCAGCAAGTCCCCGGGGTACAAAATGCAACCCATCATTGTAATTGCCCCCTTCCTTCACACACAGACACATGCCTCGTCCTGAGGGCTTTGTCCCTTACTCCAGCTAACAATTCCACTCTGTGTCCTGTTGCATAATTCAGAGACCCTGGGATTCATCCAAGACTTTTCTCTCCCCCTTCCTCCACCACTTCAAACCACTGACACATCCCATGAGTTCTGTCAGAGATATGTCTGTCCCTTTCTCCTCCTGTCTTGCCTCTGCTACACCAGCTGCCTGCTCCCAGCCTGCTTACTGTCAGAGTGCCCACTATAAAATGCAAATAAGATCACAAAACTTGATTACTTGAACCCCTCATTGTGTCCCATTGCCCATAGGATAAAGTCCAGTTTCCTTCCCCGTGGTTTTTTGTGGCTGCTTGTCTACCTGCCCTACCCTCATCCACCCCACTCCCAACATTCTGTAGTTTCCTTAATGCCATGTTGCCTGCTATTTGCTTTTTCTTGAAAATCCCTTTTACTCTGGGCTTCCTGATGAATCCCCAGCTGCTCCAACAGCAGGCTACGTGTGGCACGGCATTTGAGAAGTCTTCTCTGGTCACCCCTCCTCTCCGGAAGAGCCGCTTGTGTCTCTGTCTTCCAGCTCCCGGTACGTCGCATGAACCTCTGTTAAGGCACCGATCACCCTGAAATTTCTGGTTTGGGTTTTACATTTCTTGTTCCTCTCCTCAACCATGAACTCCTCAAGGTCAGGGTCTCGGCCTTACTCACCTACCACTGGAAATAGCAAGGCATTGGCTTCACTAAAGGCTGCATGCCTGGGCGAGTGAAGATCCTGACAGAGGCTGGCAAGTCACTGCCACCTTGTCCCAAGGCCACTCTGCTTCTTGCCTTGCTCCCAGCTCCTTCAGGTACTTGACCCATTCTGCTGATTCTGTCACAGGTCTCCCTGTCCCTTTTTGAATGAGTCAAATGGTAATTGTGGGGAAACCTCTAGGTTTCCTTTTTATCTGCGCCTTGCCAGAGAAACTGAAGTTGAAACATCGTTATAATGCTCAGAGCTTGACTGATCCTTGTTTAGTGCTTCATAGGCTTGAGACTGTCCCCTGAGAAAAGGAAGCCCAGAAAGGTAGAACTTGTTGTAAGGTGGGTATAGTCAAGTAGGGCTTGGGCCTGGGTCTTCTGAGTCTAGATCCTGTAATCCCTTGTGTTACTATACATGGTCTCAGATGCTTTTGTCACAGGTGATTTCAAGAACTGCAAAATCCCTCTTTCCGAGGGGGGCCACACTGCTGTCACCCTTATCTTGCTAACAGAGAGCTCATCTGGTTAACTGCTCTTTCCTTTGCTATTCCATGTGAACTATTCATTGCAATTGTCTTCCGGGAAGTTAGAGGCTTTAGACAACTAAGAGTGAGTCAGAGATAAATGTTGTTGATGTGTAGGAAATGGACTGAACACAGTTATTTAAAATTCAAATACTGTGTGATTCATTCAGTAGTCTTTGTGGAGCCACCTGTCTGCTGGGCACTGACTGTCATGGTCCGCGTTCACACAGGGGCCACAGGCAAGCGGGGGAGACAGGTGTGGGTCGCACATGCTTACAAAAGTGAACGAATTCTAGACCAGGAGTGTGGAGAAGTGCTGCAAGCTAAAAAGGCCCGAGAGTAGTCAAGAGACCTAAGGTTATAGCTGTGGGAGCCAGGCGGTTAGTTCCCACTGCTGGGTTTCAGGCTTCCTCTGTGAGATGGCTAAGGTTGAACCGGCCGGCTTCTTGTTGTCAGTGCTTTCTAGCTTAGCACATCTCTGAACTGCAATTTAACAAAGGCGCTTTCCATGAGTCAGGAGGCAGAGCAGAAGGTACCGTTCTTTTGTGTGAACTGATGATTGAGCAGTAACACTCACAAATGTGTCATTTATTATCTCTGTAAGCAGAGAGGTCAGGCTCAGAATGTACGTATTGACTGCCTTAGTCTACTGAGAAAAGCACACTCGTATCACAGCAGTGCTTGGCGTTGCCGTGGACCCTTTGCAACTGTAGATTATTCTGCCGTTCGAGGGATTGGATTTTCTTCTGTGATCTTAAAAAATCACCTGCCCCTTTGTCCCCAGTACCCATATTTGATATGTAAAACGGGAATCAGATTCCAAAACTTCTTAATAAAGCCACAGAGGCCCCTGTTGCGCGAGGCCACAGATATTGCCGGAGTGTCTTCTGTGTGCACGATGCTGCTCGGTGGCAGCAGACAGAGGATAAGGAGTCACCCCTGCCCTCACAGAATGTGTGGTGTAGCAGCCGCAGACAGAGCGAGAGACAGAGGGTAAGAGCATCTGTGCAATGAATGTAGGTAGGGCTGGAAGTACAGGTAAGAGTAGTTTGTGCTGCTGCCCGGAGGAGAGGAAATCAAGGGGAGCAGCATGGTCTAAGAAAAGAACGTTCGGTTTAGGGTCAGAAGACCTGGGTCTTCAGAATCTCAGTTCTCTGTATATTAGCTGTGTGGCCCTGACTTCTCTGAGCCTGGGTGGCCTCATCTATGTGAAGGAAATCGTAATACCCCCGTCACGGTCGGTGTGAATACAGCCTCACACGCGGTTGCGCACGTGCACTCAGTTGATGAAGTTCCATCTCGCCGAACTCTAGGAGTAGGTCCTTGGGCCTGAGTAAAGTGGGTTTCAGGCCACTTTTAATTGCTAAGGCAAGTTTTTATTTGAAGTTAGATCTCCGATTAAACCAAAACAGGGATCAGCTGCCTTTTAGAGGTAGTGCGCCAACTTGGCAGCCCGTGTGTTGTCCTGGTGGAGCAGGTGTCTGTGCTCTCCTCCCAGGAATGGTGGCAATTGTGGTGAAGCTGGAGGTGGCAAGAAATCTGTGGCCCCTGAAAACATGTCCTCACCCCGACTCCCGACTTGGGCGGCAGGTGTGGATTGAGTATCCCAGCTCCCGTGTGCCCTCTGGAAGTGGGAGAGTGGAGCGAAGGTGTATCTTAACCCTGACTTTTCTCCCCTTCCTCCCTCGCACCAGATTTTATCATGTGGGCAACCTGCTGCAACTGGTTCTGCTTGGATGGACAGCCTGAGGAGGCCCCACCGGCGCAGGGAGCCAGGACGCAGGCCTACTCCAACCCTGGGTACAGCTCCTTCCCTTCCCCAACGGGCTCGGAACCAGGCTGCAAGGCCTGTGGGGCCCACTTCGCAAACATGGCCAGGAAGGTGAGTGTTGACTTCTTGGCCTTCTTGGCAAGCTTGCTTCAACCTAGGCCCTCGGGCAAGCCTACTGACCCCTCTGTAATGCTTGCCACCTTGCCTTGGCCCATGCGGTGCCGGTAGGTAACCCACACCTGATCCTATCACGAAAGTGTTAAAGGAACGCTAGTCAAAAGCAAAGCGTCTTATCATTGATCTAGAGCCAGACAGGCCTGAATTCAGACCTTAGCTCCGCTGCTTACTAGCTGTTACGACCTAACCTTGCTGGAGATTCTTTCTCCCCATCTCTAAAATGGGGGTGCAGCAGTCACGCCCATCTCACAGGCTCATGAGAAGAGCATGAGCTGGGCTACCAGCGCAGCCGGCTCTGGGGTCACTCCCTTCATTGGCTGTCGTCATGAACGCCTCACTGCAGATTAACTTGTTCTGTGCATCCCACGCAGTGCTGGGGACACCTCAGGTACAGCAGGACCCCAGCGGGACAGAGACTGGGGCTCCTTTACTATAGCAATTTCGTGGGAAATGCTTGATAGCTGTGTTTCCAGATTGGCAAGCCGTGGGGGATGTCACTGGCTGGGTAATGGGGTGTGGGTGTGGGCCGTCCCTGCACCAGTGCCCAGAGGCAGCACGTTCTCCAAGGTCAAGCACGACTGGGGCTGAGGGTGAACCCCGATCTGGGAGTTCCCGCATTCTGTATTCTTCTGCAGAACAGAGAGGTCTGCAGTCCTAGATGGGAGGTTAAGATGGCGATGATGGGAAATGTGAGAAGAAAGACTACTTTTTAAGCCATGTGCTATATGCCAGGGACTGTTGTGTGCAATTTAGATCTTTTGGTTTCACTTAAGCCTCACAATAACTCTATGATAGACGTTTTAGGATCCCTGAATCCCCACTGTACATATGAGACACTGAGGTTTCAAGTGTAGCAGTTAAGAAGGAAACTGTCTTTGTCAAGTTCCTGATAAATGGCACACGAGATCAAAAAACAACTCCTTTTCTGGCTACGTAGGTAGTCGCCCAGGATCCCATGGCTGTTAAATGACACAGCTAGGACTCAAACTCAGCTCTCTGAACTCTCCAGCTGTCTCGCAGAAGACATTCAGCACGTCTGAATTCCTGCAGCACTCACCACCCCCCTTTTGTACCCACAAGGTGGAGGAGGATGGGCATTTTGCCCGTGCCTCTCTGTAGTGCAGTGAGGGTGGGCACGTAGCTGGGCTTTGTCGCTATGCGCTTGGCTGCCCTGGTCACCATGAGGACACAACCAGAGAGGCCACTGCGGGCAGCAGGGGGCTGTGGTTCGGCCGGCTGCCGTGCCACTCCCATTACACTGAGACTGGAAGGTTGAGTCCATAGATGGAGGCCAAAGCAGGGACTAGTGGGAGCTCGGTACCTCATGGCCTCAGTCTTCTCAGGGATGAAGATGGGGGGATGGCTTTGAGATCCGAGAGGAGATGGGAGAGGCCCAGGGGCTATTTATCACGTGCCTAGCACAGAGCTTGGCGTTTCAGATGTCTCCTCCCTTTGAACCTTTAGTGAAATATATACTATTATTTTTTCCTGTTTTATAGATGAAGAAATCGTTCTCTTATTTAAGATAGTCATTTCAAGGACTCCTCAGGTGCATCTGGATTCTGTCGGGTAGTCAAAGATCTTGCTGTTTTCATTGTTTTACACTGAGAAATGCTAGGAACAACTGCTGGAAGAAGTGGCAAACTAACTGGCATGAAAGGAATAGGAAAGGCCTTTGTTTAAATGAGGCAGCATGAATTTGCTGTAGGTTTGAACCTTTTTTTAAAAATACCATTTATACTCTTTGGAGTGGGGAACAGAGAAGGAGCGAAGAGGACAGTGAGGCCAGCATGTTGAGCATGTTGAAAAGCATGTTGGGGCACCTGGGTGGCTCAGTCGGTTCAGTGTCTGCCTTCGGTTCAGTGTATGTCTTCGGCTCAGGTCATGAATTCAGGGTCCTGGGATCGAGCCCCACATTCAGCTCTCCGCTCAGTGGGGAGCCTGCTTCCCCCTTTCTCTGCCTGCTGCTCCCCCTGCTTGTGCCTCTCTATCACAAGGAAGGAAGGAAGGAAAGAAAGAGAAAGAAAGAAAGAAAATAAAAGAAAGAAAGAAAAATATGTTGAGAGAACCAAGGGAGTTCTTGACATTTCTCAGCCAAGAGAGAGAATGAATGAGCAAGGAAACTGCCCCCAGAGAAGAGAGTGGGGGGTGGGTAAACGTGGGGAGATGCTCTGTTGTTCTGTAGAGTGCCTATTACCACCTGACATAAATGTTTGCAGACTGCCTATCTTTTTAGATGGTACAGAGAACAGGGGTTTTGTTGATTCTGTTCACAGTTTTCTCCCCAGTGTCTAGAAGAGCAGTGACTGACACATAGTAGACAATACAGTTTTATAGATAAACGATGGGGCACCTGGGTGGCTCAGTTTAAGTGTCTGACTCTCCATTTTGGCTCCGGTCATGATCTTAGGGTATTGAGATGGACCCGAGGTGGGCTCCATGCTGGGTACAGAGCCTGCTTGAGCTTTTCTCTCCCTCTCCCCCTCCCCCCACTTAAAAGAAATAAAAATAAGTGAAGGAAGGAAGGAATGGGCAGTTGAGTTGAGAACAATTTGCAAAAGAGGAAGTAAGCTGGAGAGTTTCTATTTTCATGACATTGTGGTTGATAATTCCATGCTGAAGATTTCAGTGCGGGCCCGATTCCATAGCACCAGCAATGTGCTCGCAGCTAGACAGTTACACAGCTTTGTGGAGACGGAGCTGGATCGGCCTTTCCCTCCTGGAGCTCCCTGGTTAGGTAAGGAGGCCCACATTTACAAAGATCTAATAGCAGCTACATAAATTAAATGCTGGGGAATCAGACATAGCTGGCCTTAGATAACTCTAGCTGGAAGAAGGAACCTTTATTGATCTGTAAAGCAGTGGCTGAAGTGAAGACACCAGATGTGGGGCAAGTGCAAGGTGTACTTGGGAACTGTGAATTGCCTGTTTGGCCAAGTGCAGGATACCGGGGGGAGTTGGGACGGAACAAGGTGGGATCAGGTGGCGGAGGCCAGGACTGCTGTGGTAAGGAGCCTGTAGTCACCAGACAATGAGGAAGCTTGAGAAAGATTTTGAACAAAGGAACTAAAGAGATCAGGAGAAAGCCTCTGTAGCAAAAAGAGCTTTTGGGATGTGGGAAAAAGAGAAAAGTTCTAATTTGAATGGTAAAAGATGGTTATTGGCATGGTAGTTTCTTGACACGGAAATATGAATTACTTTGTTTATTTCACAATGAATTTTGTGAATATGAAGGATGTTTTTCCCTATGAGAATTTTTCCTTTGTAATTTTATGCTGAAGTCAATCAGCAATTCTTATCTTTGGGGTTTGGCAAATAACAACTGCAGGCTTTTAACATGTGTTTTCTGGAAGTGGTTGAATGGAAATGATTACATGGATCCCACTGTCCTTTCTCCATTGTGGTCAGTATTTTCTGAGTGCTCGTTGAGTACAAAGCACAGATAGCATTAAGGACTGTCTGGAGAGAACAGAAGGAGGAGGTACCTGCTGCCTTCCTAGCATTTTTAGTCTTAGAGGGGAATGACCGACTGGGATTTTTGCCCTAAGCCAAATACCCCATCTGTATTGGTAAGACTCCCCCCACCTCCCCTGCAGTTCAGCAGCCGCCCTGACAGTTTTGGAGGAGGGCGGGGTATCCAGCCTCTTTAGTTGGACCAGTTGGTGGAGGGAGAGGAGGAGGTGGTGCTGGAGAAACATGGGGGCAGTCTTGAAACCCCCCCCCCCCCCCCCGGAAAGAAAGAGGGGGAGGGAGAAGGAGCGGCACTGGCAAAAGCTCAGGAGACAAAGGGGGAAAAGGAATCGAAGGTGATCGTGTTACCTTTTTTGGTGAGTGCTCACCTTATGCTAAGGGTTTAGACACATTGTGTCCCATAATACTTTCAGGGGTCCTGAGAGGTGGGTTGGCCATCCGACGTGACCAGGGAGAAATTGGAGGCCCCGGGAGGTGCTCTGTTTTGCAGGAGTTCCCTTAGCTCAGAAGGGGCTGGCCAGCAACGATTCCTAACTGCCACTCCTCACACTAGCCCTCTCCTCCCTGGGCTGCAGGAAGGCGGGCCTAGAGGGAGGCTGGTGAGGAGCCCCCAGCCGGCCTGCCCTGGGGAATTTGTGTGGGGTGGGGGTAGGAATGAGGGAAGGGCAGGGGAGCAAAGGAGAGCCTGCCCGGGGGCATCCCTGGAGGTGCGGGTGTTTGCTGCTGGAGGGTTGTCTGTCCTCTTGGTGCATTTGCAGGCCTGTCGGCTCTGCCACTTCATCTTTCAGGCCACCAGCTTCCTCAGTCGTGTGCACAGTTTGCTCCAGTTTAGACAGATGCCTTTCCTTCGCTCATTCTGCCCACATGTGTTGACATCTGGCTTCTCCTTTATCCTGTCCTGCCTCCGCACACTGGGATTTCAGCCTGGAGCGCAGTCCTAGTCCTTGAGTGCGTGGTGCAGATGCCGGCTGACTCCAGAGGCCCCGGTGAGCTGGGGTGAGCTGGAGATGCTGAGAAGCTGGGTTGCCACCTCTCCGTTCTGGTCCTGCCTCCAGTGAGCTGTCCATGTTTGAAGGAAGACTAGAGAGTTGTTCAGATCTGGCTGATTGAGCAACGCAGCCTTTTTTTTTTTTTTGACTATTATAAAAGTTTATTTAACAAAAAAAATTCAATATGAGAATGCACACGACCTGAATTTTATATTGTAGGGAGACAGGTACTATGGAGAGGGGACATGTGGAAGCAGTTGATTCTTCTGATGAACACAGCCGTTGTTTATGCTCGTTCCACGGCTTCTAACGTGATCATACTATTTCCTCATACTACCACCATCCCAATATTGTTGCCATCTCCACACATTCGTCTATCACAAGATTCATAAACGGATCGAAGCCCCACAATATTCCTTGGACATGTCTGCCACCATTTAATTTCAATGATAATTTCTTGCCCATAAATATTTTCAACTCGGGAGGGTGAGCTTTTTGCTCATAGTGTCTACCATGAGGCTCAAAGATGCCTCCAAACAGAATTTGTGGCATCCCTCACCAACTCAGGGCTTTCTCATTGTGTCAGGCTAGGTATTGTCAGACTGCATGGACTTAAGTCCTTTTCCAGGACAGGCCCTACAGCATCTGAGACTGAAGGCTCTTCAGTGCACTCTGTCATCCTGAACGCATTTCCTTTCCCAATAGAAAAGCTTTAGATAGAAATGAACCCCCAAGACCTCAAAACGTCCATTTTCCACCTGAGTGGTCCCAGGTCCCAGAGCCGCTACGATGCTCATGCCCCATGCGTCCTTTTAAGTCGGCCCCTGAACATTTTATGGTATGGTTGTAACTGCAGAGAGTGAGGGAGCTTGATACATGTCCTCTCGAAATGCTGTTAAGTAAGTATTTGTAGTCAGACCTGGGTGGTGAACCTTCTGCCGTTTCCCTCTGATGTGCAGGAAGCTTGCGCAGAGCCAGGCACCGCTGCCTCAGCTGTGCGGACTTCTCCAGCCCCACACTCGAGTCTGATCACAACACTGAGAACCTCAGTCTCCCCGGCATTCTTGTTAGTTTGCATTCAGCTTTCTTTAGTTAGAAGAGACGGGGAGAAATAGGTTAACGCTCAAGTCACTGGAGGCTGAAAAGTTCATTTCTTTAAAGGACTAGTGGGTGTGCTCCTGGGACCATCCCAGTGTGCCCAGGAATCACTTCTGCTGTGCGAGTGCGGCCTGCTCTTCGCCAGAGCAGAGCTCAGTCCCATGTCACTGTGCTGGCTCAGCCCGGGGCGCGAGACGCTGAGGATTTGCTTCCTGTGAGTTGAGCGATCTTTCGTGTGATGTGGTGTCTGCTCTTGTGGTACAGCCTGCCTCCTGCGTGCTCTTGTTGTGTGGCTAAGACACTGCTTGCACAAACGAGAGCTCCCTCGTCGTGTCCAGAGGCTCCCCTCTTTTCTCCCAGTCCCCCCGCCTTAGCTGTCTGAGTATTTGTCTTGGATATGCTCTCATGTACCACTGGATTCCCAGCACTCCCAGTGGGCCTTCCTGGGGTGGGGAGCCTGGGCGCTGCCTCTGTGGATGGGACTCCGGGTGGGGACCTTGGGCTGGGTCCTGCTGTCCGTCGGCTTGGACGGGGCTGAGTCAGGCAGAATGGCCTGGTGGAAAGGGCCTGACTGCAGGCATTCCACAGGGACAGGCTTTGAGTGTGAACCCCAGCTCTGCTGTTTCCTGCCCGCCCTTGAGTGCGATGCTTCATCTCTCTAGGCTGCGTTTGCTGTGTCTGTGCAACAGGGAGGCACATTACTAATTATTAGTGATGGTGTACATTAATACATGATACAGTGATAGAGTAATACTTTGGGGTTGCTTTGAAAGTTAAATGACAAGCTCTAGCAAAGAGTGGCCTCTCAATAAATTTAATCAACAATATTAATAATCACCACTGTACTTACGCATTTGCTTTCTTTTCTCAGCAATAAAGTAGAAAGAATCATAGTTCAGGATTTGAATACTGGCTCTCCAAATCCCTAGCAATAATAATGAAAAGAGTTAATACTTTACTGAAGAAATCATGTGTCACATATGCTAAATGCATGGCCTCTTAACTGTATGGCATTCCTGAAGCAGGTACTGCCATCACCCCCATCTTACAGATAAGGAAACCGAGGGCCAGAGAGGCTAAGTTACACACCTAAGGTGACACCGTAAAAAAAAGGAAGGAGGGGCGCCTGGGTGGCTCAGTGGGTTAAAGTGTCTGCCTTTGGCTCAAGTCATGATCTCAGGGTCCTGGGATCGAACCCTGTATCGGGCTCTCTGCTCAGCGGGGAGCCTGCTCCCCCCCTTTCTCTGCCTGCCTCTCTACCTACTTGTGATCTCTCTCTGTCAAATAAATAAAAAAATCTAAAAAAAAAAAAAAATTACGTTAAAAAAAAAGGAGGGAGACTAAGTGAAAATATGGGCTTTTTAGATTCTAAAGCTGGTAGTCATAATTAATAGCTTCTGTTACTCGGCAAGGAAAGAATAAGCGTCAGTGGAACACTGAATGTAGTGGTGCTGAACCTGAAGTCGAGGCAGGCTGCACCCGGACATACAGGAGGTAGCTTCGTATGGGCAGGAGTGATCGGGGGAGTCTTGCCAGGCACAGCAGCCCTGAGCCCCCCTCCTGCTCTGACTTGTTCTCAGTCTGACATGGTTTCCTCTGCCTCTTGGTCCAAGCAGCAGACCTGCCTCGACTGCAAGAAAAATTTCTGCATGACCTGTTCGAGCCAAGTGGGGAACGGGCCCCGCCTCTGCCTCCTCTGCCAGCGAGTCCGAGCCACTGCCTTTCAGCGGGAGGAGCTCATGAAGATGAAGGTGAAGGACCTGAGGGACTATCTCAGCCTCCATGACGTCTCCACCGAAATGTGCCGGGAGAAAGAGGAGCTGGTGCTCCTGGTGCTTGGCCAGCAGCCTGTAATCTCTCAGGAGGGCAGGACTCGCGCCCCCACCCTGTCCCCGGACTTCCCCGAGCACCAGGCCTTCCGGACGCAGCCTCAGGCCAGCACAGTACCTCCTACCTCGACGAGACTCCCCTCTTCGCCCACACAAGCCACCTCTGTGTCCCCCGCCCAGGCTCAGGAAAGCCAGCAGGTACGCCCGGGTTGCAGGGCCTGCCCGTCCCCGCCGCTGTGCTGGCTCAGTTGGCTCCCCTGCCTGCATTTGGAGGGTGGGGGAAGCGTCTCGATTATGTGAGGCCCTTCTGCCTCCTGATGCAGGAATGTCTTCTGGGCCTGTTTGGGTTTTTTTCCAGAGATGATCATGCACGGTACCAGGTATTTTTGTGGTTTCTGTATGTTTTTGATACGAACCTATCCCAGCTAGTCATTTTTTTAAACTCAGCATTCCAGTAATATTTTGAGAAAACGCACGTCAACTCTCCAGATTTGTTCTGTTCAGGCTGGCCTCCTGCTTACCTTTGCTGTGGTCCTCTGTAATGGACACAGGGCACAGAGGGAGGGAAGGGAGAGCAGGGGGCACGGCTTCTGTGGCCAGTCGCCGCTTGGGTCAGGTCATGGTTGGCATGACGTTGAACGGTAATTACCTGGTCATCGTCCCAGGGGCCTCAGGAATGGTCAGCAAAGAGCAGCCCATTCGCCGAACTGCGAGCCCGGCATGGGGTGTGTGGAATGGTGGGCGCCATCAGAAGGGCCCTGTGAGAGGGGCGCTAGACGTGCAGACCAGCTTTCGGGTTTGAGAGAGACCGAGAGACATACGCAGTGTGTGAGGACTGATGGCGTCCTGCAGACAGACTTCAGTGCCTCAGTGACCCTCCAGCGTATACGGCTTGGGCTGTGGCCGGGGCATTCGGACCTTGGGGATCTGGTTTCCACATCCAGTCTGTTGCTGTTTGGTGGCCTTGGGGCCAACTCTGAGCCTTCAGCACTGAAACAGGGTCAGTAGCCCCAGGGCACTTTGGCTCCTGCCAGGCCCTCAGGAGGGCAGGCCTGTGGGGCAGCAGGTCTGAAAAGCTGTGAGCTCCTTCCAGCTGGCACTGCCCTACCTAGTGTTGTCCGCTCCCCTGCGCACCATGGCTGGCTGCTGCCTCGGGCTTATGACCCCTCCCTTGTCAGGACTGGGCCCCTGATTCAGCTCTGGTGGGCGCGGAGGCATAAAAGGCCAGGGCGATGCGTCCTTCACCTGTGGGGACTTGTCAGCTCCCTGGGCACCTGTGTTGTGCTCTCTCCCAGCCCCAGGTGAACTCTTCCTGACGCTTGGCTCTGTCTGCCTCCTGTGCAGGGTCCCCACCTCAGCGCGGTGGAGCGCTCCTCTGCTTTTGGGGAGCCCAAGGAGTAACTTGAGGAAATTGTTTTTCCCTAAAGAACCTTCCGGTGGATTTTTCAATGAAAGCAGTGGGTTTGAAACTTCCTGTTGCTCACCAGAAATTCCAGACTGCCCCCACAGGTCCCATGCGTGCGCCAGATCTCATCGGGTCCTTCCATGGTACTTTCAGAGGGCCTTGGTGTCCGCTCGCATCCATGCTGGTGAGATCTGCATTTGTCAAGCCAGGAGAACAGGCGTGGGGAGGTCAAGTGGCTTGCGCAGGCTACCTGCACCTAGGATGCACATCTGCCCGGGTCGCCTGCTCCCCGATTTCTTTCCCTGACCCCTGGTGTCCTGGCAGTGGTTGCTAGGGAAGGAGGTGGGTGGAATAAGCAAAATTTTGGGCAGATAAAATTTGAGGGATTTTAATTTAGCCAGTGGGCGAACTGAAGAGACAAGAGCATGCTTTGTAGTGGGAGATCCGATTTCCCCTTCCTGGGAAGAAAAGGACTTAAAGAAGCCATCTACTTAGGAACAGGTTAGACTCGCAGAGACTTTGTACTCAGGGCGACACCTGGGGGACTGGTGGGTGCCTCATCTCGATAAAGCTAAGGGGAAACTAGAGGTGTTGACGAAGACACTTTTGGATGCGTCCCCATACATGCACGCTCTGTGTGCTCTTCTCACCACTTGGCATTGTGGATGATGGTGGGGATTTCTGCTTCCATTTCCTTTGTAATTATTTGCCTCTTCTTGACCGGCTCTGTGTTAGGCATCCTAATATGGGCTGAGTGATTGGGGCCACAGATGACTGGTTTCCTGGACTGTTCCCTTATTGGTGTTCCGAGAGTCTAGAGAAAAGGCCTGTGAGCTCAGACACGTCTTTGCTGCAGGCTCACACCAGGCCCTTTACCTGGAGGGTAAAGAAGAGATGAAAGGGTCTAGTGAAGGGGTTTGTGGCTTAAATGGTAATGGGATGAGGAGGCTCACAGTTTGAATTACTATTTGGCAAAACCTTTTGAGAAGGTAAAATTCTAAACTCCTTAAGTGTAAGACGTCTATGTCTTTATAGTTTTAGGCTAATAGATTCTTATGTGCATTAAAATTTTTTTTTTTTATCAGGTTTCAAGATAGTTCTTAGTAACAGTGTGCACTGCTGATTGGAGCCATTTCTAGAATGTGAGAGCAGTGACTGGATGCAGGAGAGGGAGCAGAGTGGCGAGGGTCTGAGAACTGTCTCAGGGAAGCCAGGGAGATGTAGCGTGGAGTCAGGAAGACACGGTGTGGACACTCTAAGAAAATAGTGGACATTACTGATAGGGGCAGAGCCCAGGACGGTGAGTGGGAGTTACAGGGAGGGCGGTCTGGGCTCAATGTCCAGGAGAAACCGGATGGCAGTTCGAGAGCAGTCCCGCAGTGGCATGCATATGTGCTCTTCCTCTCGCTCCCGACTGTTCGAGCTGAGACCACATGGACTGTGACTGGCTGCTCATGCCATTCTGGTGGGGAGCACAGTTAGTGACCTTCTTGTTTTAGAATTGAAATCTATTTGTGTTGTGTCTCTGCCCAACAAAGTCAGTATTAAGGAGCAGGCTTCTGTAATGCTGTTGTTCGAGATACCAGATTCCTGGGGAGATGGGAACATGTTTGGATGTGGAATGAGCTGGGCAGAGGCCCACACTGTGTGAATCTCTGGGGCATCTCTGTGCATGTGATGGCACCTTTCTCTTCCCACAGGCCAATGGCCATGTGTCTCAGGACCAAGAGGAACCTGTCTACCTGGAGAGCACAGCCAGAGCACCTGCTGAGGAGGAGACCCAGGTGGGGCCTCTGCTCCGGTCTGCGCCTTTGCGTTTGCTCTTTCTCTGCTGGTATTAGGCTGTGAATAGGCCCCTTGCAGCAGACTCAGAGGTGGCGAAGAATCAGTGTGGTGACAGTCCTACATTCGGTTCTGCTTTCAGGGGTGGGGCTTAGTGTTAGCTTTCCACATTAGCCTCTGAAGCTGTCAGTCATTAGGGCAGAGTGGTGAGCTCCCAGTGGAGACCAGGGAGCCTCATGGCCCCTTAGTTTCTAGGGTCTTGACTTGCTGTAAGCTGCCACAGGGCAAGCTCCTGGTGCTGCTGTGCAAATCTTGTCCTGCTGCTAGCACACACTAGCCATCGTCAGGGGAAAGAGGTCAGAGAATCAGGAGGAAGGCTGAGTGGGAGTTGGGCCTCAGCTGTGGTAGGGCAGTCAGATGCCGCTGCCAGCGGGCGGCGAAGCCATGGTCGAGGGTGCGTACAAAGGAGTGCTCACCAGGGAAGTCTTCATCTCCCACAGGGAAGCAGAAGTCTGTCCAGGGAGGAGAGGGGAGGCCAGCACTGTGCTCGCTGGCTTCTTGCACTGCTACGTTCAGTCCTTACAGGACCTAGTGCAGCAGGACTGCCAGGTCTCCTGTATGGACGCGCGGATAGGCTGAGGGAGGTGAGCAACTCGCTCCGTAGTGTTTAGCATCAGTCTGAGGAGGAGTCAAAATTAGGGCCATGGGACTCACACTGGTGCCTCTTCTACTCGTCACACCGATCGGTTGGTTGGGGGCTGGCTGTGCCCGAGCCCAGGCCCACAGGTCAGGAAGAGACTGTGGTCTCTTCGGCTCTGCAGAGCGCCGCGCCGGGTTTCTTCCTGCCTCCGCTCCTGCTCTTCTTGACGTCAGTCCCCTCGGACACGGCCTGGGGAATGCTCTGGGGTCCTCGGAGAGAGAGCTGGGGAGGGGGAAGCTGAGCCCACCAATCCCACCGTTGCCATTGCAGTCTGTCGACTCAGAGGACAGCTTCGTCCCGGGCCGGAGGGCCTCCCTGTCTGACCTGACCGACCTGGAGGACATCGAAGGTCTGACCGTGCGGCAGCTGAAAGAGATCCTGGCGCGCAACTTCGTCAACTACAAGGGCTGCTGCGAGAAGTGGGAGCTGATGGAGCGGGTGACGCGGCTGTACAAGGACCAGAAGGGGCTCCAGCACCTGGGTGAGGCGCTGCCAGGCGGCACGGCAGCATCGCCCTGACTAGGTTTCTGTGCTTTTGGCCGAGCAGTCACCTTCCACCCTGGCACCGGCTAATAGCTGCCATCTGAAGTTGAGTGCTGGGGCCGGTCTAAGCCCCGTAAACATTTATCCAGTCCTCAGAACTGCCTGTGAAATAGGCATTATTAGCGGTTTTTTTTTTTTTTGTTTTTTTTTTTAAAGATTTGAGGGAGAGAGAGAATACGAGCATGAGTAGGGGGAGGGGCAGAGGGAAAGGATCTTGAGCAGACTCCTTGCTGAATGTGGAGCCCAACACGGGGCTCATGACCTGAGCTGAAACCAAGAGCGGACGCTTAACTGACTGAGCCACCCTGGCGCCCCTAGCATTACCCTTTTATTGTAGAGCCCGGGTTTGCACTGAAGAGTTCCTGGACTGAATCCGTAGCCTTTCCCACCTCGTGCCACCCCGCCATAACCGCTAGCACTACAGCAATGCTGTTCTCAACAGCTGGGAGACGAGGAAGTGAACCCATGGTACGAGGGAAATACAGATATGCTGCCTGAGCCTGGGCTTTCCCTATGGTCGTTTCCCAAAGCATTCGACACGGTGTCATTTTCCGGCGATGCCCAGTAAGATGTCTGGGTTTGTGGTTAAATAAGTTTGGGGGGAAAAACTAGGTCTCTATGGTAGATAGTAAAGGCAGAGAAGTTCTACAGAAGAGGAGTGTGTTTAACTTTAATGGTTGAAGTACGATTTCAGGCTCCTATCCCACTGGTTCGTCAGAGTTGACGATGTCTGACCAGTCATCTAGTCACGGACTCACTTTTCCCTTTGGGGTTGTCCCCAGGATCTCCAGAGTTATGAGGTCCTGGGGTAATAGGACATGGCCCCACCTGGGAACTTCATCCCGACTTCTTGGCTGACTGGAACAGACCGTTCCTTTCTCCTTGCCTTTAATGTGGGCTTCAAGTGACAGAGAAGGGTACCGTGCCCATACGGTACTGCCCACTTGTTAGTGTTGTTCATGTGAAGCAGTGGAGTCCCTTTTTCTAAGAGCAGACCAGACATCAGCACGGGCTGTGCGTGGGCACTCAGCACGCGAGAGGAGGGCAGGCGTCCGGCCGGGCTCTTGGCCAGCCTGGTTCCCAAGCAGGGAAGCAGTCCGACTGCAAAAGTTAGGCTGGTTGGAGACTTTCCTTACCTCTTCTTTCTCTTTCCTTTTCAGTGTGTGGTGCTGAAGACCAAAACGGTACGTAGTTGCTTCTGCTTGGGACCGTGCTTAGGCTCTGAGCTCTTGTGTCTTTCCCTTCTGCCAACCCTGCTTCCTCTTAGAAGTCTAAGAATTCTGAGCATACTGGCATCCGCAGAGAGAACTGGGGGAAATGCATGGGGAAGCAGGGCTTCTCAGCATCTTTAAAAATTCTCATTCTCGCCTTGCTGGGAAGGGTGAAGAGTGGCAGCAGACCCAGGGGCAGATTGATTTGCAGGTCTTTGGGTTGCCAGAGCTCAGGAGCAAGCATTTGTAAAATATTTAACAAAGTGAGTGGTGGTATGTGTGACCTTCAGTTCATTTTTCATACCTCTGCTGCTATGGCGCTCCTTCCCCTATGGTTTTCACTCCATTGTCATCTGAGGAGAGGGTCTCTGAGCCTTGTTTGTACAGGGCTGGGTGGTGGCTAGAGCTGCTCTGGGGACTGAATAGGAAAGGGATCACTTGTGTGCTCTCTGGGCACAAGGCGCATCTACCACCTCAGCTGCTACACACCCACCTGTGTGCTCGAGACCACCACAGGAGCTTCAGGGACCCCAGGACTCACTGCAGGCATCCAGCTGGGTCTAGGCCTCATTTCTTTTTGAAAGCTTCAAGGCTGTATGGTTGTGAGCTCTTCCCCCGAGAAAGAATGTCCTCAGAGTAGTGTTGGGGGCCTGCAAACCATTTTAAAACTTTCAGAAGACTCCAAGTTTGTTATTTGGCAAAATGGCCTTTTGCTCAGAAGGGGGCAGAGTCTTCCAGCTGATAAATCCCGAAGCCTCCCCTAAGTGCAGACTTTCTGAAGAGTCCAGGAAGTAGGAGAAAATGCCGAGCAGCAGAGGACAGAGAATTCCCCTGTGGAGTGGGACAGGTGACTGGTATGAAACCAGTTCCCTACTTACAGCTCCGTGGTTCAGGCTACCATTTAAAGATTTTACTATTTTTAGACGAGAGAGACAGAGCAAGCGAGCAAAGGCGCACATGCATGCACACACAGGGCAGAGGGAGGGGCAGAGGGAGAGGGAGAGAATCTCAAGCTGAGTCTGCACTGAGCATGGAGCCCCACCTGGGGCTTCAGGCTACCATTTAAAACATGCTAGGGATGGCTAGGTTTTTGGACATGAAGGTTCTTCTGTGTTTGCACTAAAGTATCATACTTTAGTGGGCCAGACGCTCTGTACCTCCTTGCTCACATAAGCTAGCTGGAAGTTATTGAGAATTTTGTGCACTGGGCAGTTAATACTAATTTGATAGTCCCTGTCCTCAGGTCACTTGCCTAGGAGGCCTGCCTGGATTCAAATCCTGGCTCTGCTTAGTAGCTGTGTGTCCGTGGGCCAGCCACTTAACTCCTTGGCCTCAGTGGCCTCATCTATAAGGTACCTACTTCATAGTTTTCACAAGGATTCAAAAAGAGTTAAATATGCAAAACTCTTAGGACCCTGCCTGGCACAGACTTGCACAAATGTGAGCTGTTAGGACTCCCTTGAGAGATGTTCATTTATCAGACATTTTGAGAACACGTACCACATGATTGGCATTTTAGAGATTCAAAGAGGAAGATCTGACCTCAGAGCATCTAACAAATGCTAAGTATATAGTTGCAGAAATCAAGCAAATAGGTTGAATTAAGGAGCTCGCAGAGTCGTGGGGGAGCTCAATAGTTAAGACCTTTTAATCCCATGTTGAGAAGCTGGTGTGGGGGGAGCTGGGCTCTTCCGCTGGGCAGCCTCCTCAGAGGAAGCCCTGGGGAAGGCTGGGGGACAGCACACAGAGGGAGCCCCCAGGATCCTTGGCTGTATTCAGTTGGGGATATGTTGACTGAGAAGCCTTGCAATCCTTCAAGAACCATTCACTACAGTTCCGATCGTATCACACTTTTTGGAACCAGTTTTTATCTTTTCAGCATGTTCGGCCTCGGGGGATAATGAGTCCCTAAGTGCCACTTACTCACCATATTACAGCCGCAACTCTTTGAAGCTTTGAGGACTTTGCCTTATTTAGCTGTCCTCTTCTGGGTTGTATTTGATCTCTAAGTACTTTATTATCCACATCTGCAGCCTGGCCAGGAGAGGTGGGGCTGGTTCCTGGAGTTCTAGCTGAGGGCAGTGTGTGGATTTGGGGTGTCCTCAGCATGCCCCTTCTGTCCCCCTGCTGCCCCCTGCACTTACAGTCTCCTCTCCCTGCCGTCCCTCCCCCCACCAGGTGGAGCAGTGCCGCCCAGCGTGGAGGAGAACCTGTGCAGGATCTGCATGGACTCGCCCATTGACTGTGTCTTGCTGGAGTGCGGTCACATGGTCACCTGCACCAAGTGCGGCAAGCGCATGAATGAGTGTCCCATCTGTCGGCAGTATGTGATCCGAGCCGTGCACGTCTTCAGATCCTGAAGGCTGGCGCCGGCTTCTTCAGTGCCTTACAGGGACAGAGCTGGAAGGGTCTGGGCTCCAGAACGACCAGCTTGCGGAGGGGCAGGCTAACAAGAGAATCTGCAAGCAAAGATGCGGTCACCTCTGGGCATGCCTGTCCCACCTCGGCGGCGCACCTCTTGGCTGGCGGAGCCCGAGGCCGGTGGGAACTGGTACAGATCGCGTGGGCAAGTCCCTGTTCCAGTGATCTTGGGGTAATGATGGTAATTGATGAAGAGAGGATTTTCCAGAACTTGGACCAGATTTTCCTCCCTTCCTCTGTAAACCTAACAGTTTCCCCCTTCCCCCTGTACCCTGGCCATCCCTGAGCCACCTGTGTTCCAGCCGTCAGAGGTCCTGGTAGAAATGGTTCTCTTCCTCCCCAGCACATTTGGGTTTATTTCTGGTCTCTGGCTTTCTGTGCTTTAACCAGCTTTGCTAGTCTCTTGCTACATTGCCTAAAATTTGTTTCTTCAGACCAAAAAGATGTTAGCTTACCAGACCAATAGTGATCCTCCTTAGGACTAAATCTGGACCAGTAAACTTTTTCTCTGGTGAGAAATGAAACACAAATGCTATTGGAAAATTGCAAAGTCATTTAGAGTTGCTTCCTGAAGTGCTGGGATTGGAAGCGAGGAGTCTCCTGACTGAACCTTGGGAGGCAGCAAAGCATCTGCAGGGAAGTTTAAGTCTGTGTGTGTGAGATGGCACGGGCATCGAGCTCTGGTGCTCTTAGGGCCTGTGCGCCACCCTTGATTTTAGTTTACGAGAAAAGGGAAAGTTTTGGGTGGAAACTGCTTTTGACTTCTCCAACACAAAGGAATTGCAAACCACTTTCCCCTGGGAATGAAGTCCCTCTCCCACGGAGGTTTTAAACATGGTCTCACTAAGGCATAGAGACTAAGGCAAAGAGCCTTGCTCTTCTCTAGCCACACTTCTCATGAAGTTCCTGGAGACTGAAACTGAACACCTAAGGGGTATTGGAAGATACTGAATGGGACTGGATTCAACCCTGGGGCAGACAGCTGCAAGTCTTGATTCCCTAGGTTAGCGGGGACTCCCCACTCCCATTTCCTTCCTTAGCCTACTGATTTGAGGGGAGGTCTAGAAGAAGCATATTCTTGAGCCCTCTTAGGGTGGGTCTACCACTGGAAGAGCCAAAGGGCTTAAGCTTGCTGGAGCAGCAAGGCCAAGAACATGTGGTATCAGAAGAGCTGTGTGTGCTGCCGTTCCCCGGGGGTGAACTACACAACCCCTAAGCTCCAGAGGGCCTTAGCAGACCACTTGCTACCCTTTCCCCCTGCTGTGCAGTCAAATTCTCACAGACTGGAAGCAGTCAGGACTTTGGAAAACAGTGGGAAACCTCCAGGGGGACCTGCTTATTGGTACAGACATACTTAGGCCTCCCCCCATCAACCACTATTCCCCTTCAGAAGAACGAAATTATTTCATAAAGCAGTTGTCGGTTGCACACTAGGCCACTTACCTTGACATTACACCCAAGTCCTGGATGGTCTGATTCTGGGACAGCCTTTGTAGGAATCGGGGGAATCAAGAGAGAGGTCTGCGATGAGGACCTTTCGCTCTTCTGCTGGACAGTACCTACGACCGTTTACAATGCCTGCAAGCTTAGCAGAGCATTCAGCTGCTTCTCGGTTCCACTGTAACAGGTGTGTGTGTATATATACACATATATATGCAACTTAGTTACGATCTAGCAATAACTTCAGGGCAGAAGCTGGCTCTCTCCCTACTTAAAAACTGCTTTCACTGCTGAGGCCTTACCTCTCCTACCTCCCACATTCCCTCCTAGACAGAAGTTAAAAATAATATCCTGAAGGTTGGTTAGTAACCTCAGTAAGAATTAGAACTGCTATCATTTGCTCATTTTGGAGAAAGAACTTGCCTTTAAGTCTTTTGATCTCAGTGAAGGTTTCCATTCAGGAAAAAAAGATGTCAAACCACCCTGATTTATTGTTCATCATTATTACACCAAATAAAGGCTGGGAATTCCAAGATCCCATTTCAGTTACTATCCAGTCTAGGTAGAAAACTTGATTTTTATCTCCAAGTGCTCTCCCTTGCCCCTCACGGATCCTTGGTCTCAATTATCATGAAACATCTTAATTCTTCCAATTATTCCATAGCTTTGGCTGTGATCGTTTTGAGACTTGTTTTAAGACTTGGAAGAGCTGACTGGTTCTCAGTACCCTGGAATAGCTGGATCCAAGCTCGTACCCAGGAGCTGTGCAGGAGTCTGTGCACAATATATATTGTATAAATTTGTTGAAATCTTTCAGATGTGAATGTGGTATTTCAAGTGGCTTATATTAAGATTCTCTCAGACTTACGTGGGTGTTAAAGCAAACCCAGATGTGTATTTTTTGTTACAGAGCTCTGCTTTATAATTTTATAATAAAATTTCACTGGAGATACCTGTCTGATCTGGTGGGAGGACACCAGAGGTCAAGACTGCGACAGAGCTGAGGGCCCACAGGCTGAGCCCAGGCTCTTCACAGACTGCATTACTTGTGGAGGTGCCTGGGCCAGGTGGCCATGTGGATACTCCTGTTCAACAGATGAGGAAATTAAGTTCAGCAGTGTTTTGACTTGTTCAAGATCTCACAACTAGTATGTGGAAGCTGCCATGGAACAGCCTAGAAGAGGATGGGAGCTGTGTAGCCAAAGGACCAGCTTTAGCACTAAGGAAGAAATACCACGTGAGACCAGACATTGACACTGACCTTGTAGAGATGGGCCTTAGAGATGTGGGTACAAAGGAATCTGAGGAGAGCCAATGTGCTCAGTTAAGTCTTCAGGTAACCCCAGGGATGGAAGCTTCTGGATACAGCTGTACAGTTGGTGTGGCTCAGAGGTTGACCCAGCCCAGCTGTGTGGCACAGGCCTGTGTGGGGAGAGCTAGATTATGTGCAGATCCGCCTTGGGACTTGAGGCGAGGAGAGGAAACAGTCTTGCCTGGAGGCAGTAAGGGCTGAGGCTAAGCTGCAGCATTCTGTCCTCCACTGGGCACCCAGGACGACCTACTGTCCGCTGTCAACCAGCAGCATGTAAACAAAGGTCCAAAGGTGGGCAGGCCTTGAGCACTGTGCTGGGGAGGTTTAAGATGCTGTTGCCTGGCGGGGGCGGGGCACGGAAATACAGAATTGTATAGACCGTATAATCTCGGCAGCAGAGGAGAACACTCCTGAGGAAGACCAGAAGGAAAGAGACCTCTAACACCTTCAACAGGGAATTGGAGAAAGCACACAACGAGGCCAGAAAGGGCCTCTGGGCCAAGCTCATTACGGAGCTGCTCCCCAGTGGCTGGCAGGGCCCTGGTGCTGCGAGGGTGCATCCTGAGTGTAAGCCACAGGTCAGGACAGGTGGGGCTGGGGCAGTGGGGTCAAAGGGCAGTGGCAGTGTCCTCTGGCAGAATGCCAGGGGGAATGCTTTGTTCTGCTGCCCCATCTGGCAGCTTGGCTTGAGGAGGCTGGAGAGGGGGATGGAAATTTATGTAGGTCAGTGCTCAAAGCAGTGGCTTTTGTCTCCGCAAAGGATAGAATAAAGGGAGTCTTATTCTCCGTACTCTCACTAGACTGAATGGTGCCTATTCAAAAACACCAGTGTGCTGGGCCAGAGTCAGGGCGGTACCAATCCCTCCTGCCCCCTCTTCCCAACACATCTTAACGGGCAGGTAGAGACCCCCAGATCGGGTTAGGGCTGGCCTCTATGCTGACTGACTAGCAGCCTCCCAGTGGAATATTAGCTTAGTTGAGCACCCTGGAGGAGGGCCGAGGGAGGTAGTGGTCCTCAATCTTACAGGCCCACTCAAGCGTGTTCCAGAAGTTGAGTCTCATTACCTTAACTCACAGGGGATGGACAAACAAGCCTGACAACCTGTTGCTAGTAAGAAAAAAAGAGAACAGACTCTAAAGAGTCAGCAGAACTGAACTCCTGGACACCAGTCTGGAACGAGGAGACCACCTGAGGAGCCTGTCCCAGCTTACAGGACTGTGAGCCAGGCCCGTGCTGGCTGCGTCCCGTGAGGCGGCGGAGTTCGTGCGCTCTTGGCAGCAGCCTGTGGGTTTAGGGGCCGTTCTCCCCACACCTCTGGGAGGGACGGAGGGTCACACGCTCAAGAACTCAGGTGTGAACCAGGCCTGGTGCTGCACCAGCCAGTGTGGCCGTTCCCAGCCCCACGTGACCATGGAAGGCTGAGGTAAAACCAAAACTTGAGTTCCTCCGTGGTGTCGGCTGCTGAGCACCTGATAGGTGGCTAAGCGTGCCTCGTTTATTTTGGCCAGGGAAGATCTACAAGGTGTTTCCATTGCCACGAAAAGTTCTACTGAATACACTCCTCTCCACGGAACTGTTTTCCTTTTATTCCAATAAACCAGCCTTGGGTGGCATGGGAGCCTTTCTTGGTAAGGAGGCCGTATAGGTTTTGTCCTTGAGTGGGTTTTTTATTTTAAAGACCAGTCTTATTTCCAAATGTAGGGGAGGCAGAGCCTCCTGGAGTCCTGTATTTCCCAGTGGAGTAGCTCCAATAACCTCCCTTATAAAGCCCCGTTTTCCTACCTGATCCTGGTTCCCTCCCTTCAAACCAGGACCCACACCCTGTAAGAGGAGAACACAGAGAATTAAGTCATAAAATTCATCTTGTTTTCTTTCAAAGGAGGCTACATTCCTGGCAAAAAGGGCCAGGCTGAATACAAGTCCTGCCAAATAATAAGAACATTTCTGAGAGCAGTCTTTTAAATACAACTTTAAAACCAGCCTGCAAGTGAAGGGGCAGGTGGCTGTGCTCTGAGCTTTAACAGCTCAGCGTCACTCCGTGCCTGACCACTAGGGGGCCTACGGGGGAGAAGGAGTGAAGGACGGGGTAACTGAAAGGTATTTTATTTATAGGGGGAAAAAAAAAAAAAAAAAACTTTTAAAAGAAAACAGAAATACAACCAAACCAGCACCCAGATCAGAAAGATCTATGTAAACCAGCAGGAGACACAGACTTCCCCGGCGGCACCCGCAGCCATGAAGTCCTGGCTGGGAAGAGACCACGGCTGGTAGGTTCTGGAAGACGCACTGCTTGGAGAAGAAAGGCCATTTCCCCAACCCCCCACCGCCACCCTCCCCCAGGCCCCACCACTGTGTTCTTGCCTTCGCCTGCTGGCCCAGGCCCACCCCCAAATGAAGCAGAGCGTGTGGCCAATGGCGAGGGAGGGCCGCAGTCCTAGCAGGGGGCCACCAGCCTTCGTTTCCGGATACAGGCCCAAATCCACTCCGGGGAGACCTGCTGGGCCTCAGGGTTCTTGTCCCTGCTACCCAGCACATGTGTGGCTGAGGCCATGTCAAATTCCTGCACCAGGTCCCCATCGAATGCCACAAAGTAGCGTCTGAGACGGCTGAAGTCTGGTGTGGAGGGTGGCAGGTAGAGCCGCACCCCAGTGAAGATGTCCAGCAGCACCTGCAAATGCGCAGCGGTCAGGCCGGGGCTCCACCCAGCGTAGCACAGGCAGGCAGGAAGGAGGTCTGAGAACCAGAGCCAGAGACGGAGGGAGCCATCTCAGAGCTGACTGGAGGAAAGGACCATGTATCAAAGCCCCAGTCCCCCAGCCACTCCAGAGGGCACATACCGCATCGGTCTAGAGGAAAAGGAGGGAGCGTAGCTGGGTCCCCACACTGGGGACCTGGAGAAGAGGAGAAGGTGTCTATTATAGCACCACCCAGGGGGCAGGGCCAGTGGCTCTCAGACTCCGTGACGCTGGCCGACGGAGCAGTGCGCGGCACACAGGCAGCTAGACATGGGGGTTAGGAGCCCTGCTCTGCTATGGACGGGGGCAGGGGCTTCCGGTAGGGAAAAGATGGGAAAAGTTCCCTACTTCTGCTGGGGACTGGGTGCAGACTCCACTTGGCAATCTCCGATGCTGGCTTTGGCTAGGGGGAGGAGGACTGTTGGGTCCATCACACCGGACAGAGATCCAGTGTTTACCTCTGTACCCTGTGGGCCAGCAGCTCCCCCAGGGCTGAGCCTAACTGCCACATTCAGGAGCAGCTCAACGGCTGTTTTCAGACCAAAGACAAACGGGGGAGGACAAGAAGGGAAGGGCGTTGCAGGTAGGAGGCCAGTCACCTGGCCAGTGCCCCTGCCCTGCTCCTCGGGGTGGGGCTGGTTCTGCTTTGGCCCTGAGCACAAACTCACACAGCTGCACTCCACCCAGACCAGGCTCTCTCCCTTCTCTTTAATGCAAACTGGGACTTGGGACCTGCAGCCTCTCTCAGTGAGGCCGGGCTGTTCTATCTCCTGCCTGCTGGCACGGCTCTCCTTCCTCTGTGCGGGCTGGCCGGCCGCCTCTGCAAGGCAATGAGAGGGCACAGGGTGGAGCGGCTGTCCTGCGGGACAGGCCCGGGGTGGGTGAGCAGCTACCGCAGGCCACAGGGTCTGGCCGTCAGTCCCCAAAACACCTTCACTCCTCCCAGTGCCCAAGGGCAGAGGGCTGGGAACATGAAGCTCCGGGCCAGCAGGGCCCCTGGGACACTGCCATTCTTCCCCTCACCTTTGCTGGGCACGCAGTCTCATCGGGAGCCTTCCGCTTCTGCCCCACTTTCACAATCCGCTGGTGGCCTGTGGGAGACAGCCTGCGATGAGAACCAGAGTGGGGAGGAAAGCTGCTACCCCTGGGGTCAGGGCAGCCGAGGGAGAGGCCAGGTCCTGGCTCTGCTGGGAGTCTGGGGGAGCTGGCCAAGGAGGCTCTCGGCGGGTAAGGCCTCTAGCTCGGAGGCGGTTCATCCCCAGATCTGACAGGCTCTCCCAGGAGCTGGTCACTCAGTTCTACTGAGCAGATGGAGGGGCCTGTGGCTGGACACACCACAGGAATGGGTTCCGGGTCTGCGGCAGTGGACAGAGCGAACCATGTGACCTCAGAGATGCCTGGCAAGACTGGGTCCCCGTCCTCTGAGCTCTGCCTTCACAGCACACTCTTCACCACCCACCCCCTTACCGCCTCTGCTGTTGGGGCTACTCGGCCTTCCTCCTGCCTTCTTGGCACTGGTGGAGGGCTGCTTCAGGGAGGCCTTGGAGGCCTTGTGAGCCCCCGCAGGCCCCGAGGTACCCTGGTTCTCTCCGCTGCTGCCCCCTGTGGTGGAGCTCCCCTCCTCTCCGGCCGCCACTGTGAAGCCCGCTCTCTCCTTGGACAGCTGGTACAGTTCCTGTGGGGGGTGACACCGAATGTCAGGGGCTCTCATCCTCTTCCTAGCCACTGGCCTCTGAAGCAGGTTAGGCCCATGGGGCTGAGGAATAAAGAAGAGAGAGAAATGGCAGGGAATAGAGGCTGGCTTTCTTGGTGCTTTTCTAAATTTTGGCCATTCCTTGGATCATGGGTACAAATCACTGTTCTCTGTCCCCTGGTTCTTAACAGCATCGTAG